ACACCATGTCCATCTTAAACTATTAAGAAACCATGGGAATAGTTTTGCACGGTAAAGTCTTAACAGCTCAGCTTTGCTGCGCATGTGCAGAGTGCGCCTGTGTTGTACACACAGCAAGTCCGGCCTTCCTGGAATTGTGTAAAGGCTTCATTTGCTCACCTGCTTGCCCGCTGAACGGCTGACTTGCATCACTAAGCGTGAGGTCCCCAAGACCATCTCTGAGTTACCGACGCTGCCTTTTTTGTTTGGGTTTTTTTTTAAACAAAGCGTTTGTGATCTGAGAAGAGGTTTCTGTGTCACCCTGTGTCTACCTCTGCTCTGTGCTGCTTCCAAAGTCATCTTTTGAGATGTCACTTCTGTGTAAATACCTGGACAGCTGTAACCGTGCCATTTAAATACACAATAGCGATGATTTTGTCCTCGCTGCGTAACGTCTGTGTGACATCCTTTCTTTCCTTTGCACCATCCTTCGTTTCTCTGTGGGTTCTGACAAGGCTGTAGACCTGACTGCTTTATTCAGTCCATCTGGAGAAGCCGTCAGGCTGCCAATGCTTATAAGAGGCCGTTGGAACAAACTGAGGCGAAAGATTACTCGAGCTGTTCTTGGTGTTGAGTCAAAGCACAGGAAATCTGCCAGAAGACCTTGAAGATGGGGGTTAGGGCAGAGCCCCCCGGTCCTGCCTCTGCTACCTTCTGAGGGCCTGGCTGGCTGCTGCCTTGCTGGGGCACAGCGAGGTGTCCCTCTCCTTTTTGAGCACAAAGGGATGAACACTTGAGTTTGTTTTGCAGTAGTAAGCATAGCTGCTGGCCACAGGAGAGATTACCGTATGCCACTTCCTAAACTGTTCCTCCTGTCTGCTTTGCCACCCAGTGATTGCGCACTCTCCTTCCACGGAAGGTGCAAAGCCTTGAGGCTCTGTAATCAAACTGATTGCGTGGAGCACGTCGTGGCACAGATGCATGAGGAGAAGTCACCGGAAAAGATGTATATCTCATGTCCTGGCTTTTTTGTAAACTCAAGGCTTTGTAAAGTCAAGGCCTCAAACAAAGCTTACAGCAACCTCAAACGAAGCTGCAGGAACATGAGAAAGCTCAAGTTTGCAGCGTTTGTATTTAGAGTACTGCAGCCAAATTCTGTCAGCTACTCAGTATACTTCAAGGGTCATCCGTAGGCGTCAGAGAAGATCTCAAGACAATAATAGTGCTCTATTTTAGCATACTCATTACAAAGTATAACTGCCCTCTGCCTCTAGCAACTATTTTTTCCTCGTACTCAAATGGTGCAGAAGTGGAAAGGCCGTTGTCATAAGCAGCAGTATTGCCTCTCTGCCTAATGCCCTCATTGTCTTTTCAAATGAGACCTTTTTCTTTCTCCATGGACTCTTATAAGGGAAATAACCTTCAGCAAAAAGACAGTTTGCAAGGGTGCGCTTGTAATTATTGGTGTATTCATCTTGAAGAAAAAGCAATCAAACTAGTAGGCTTTTTATGCTGACGGGGAGCTGTGCTAGGAGATTGATGCCTTTTCGTGAAGGGAGACGTTGTTTTGGAAGAAGTTGAAATGCTGTTTACAAATCACAAGACAAGTAACATCTCACAATTATTAGTGTAGAGTAGGAGTGGGACAGTGGGTTCCTGTCCTCACCCCGATTTCTTTAGTTTAACTAGTGGGCCTGTAACGTCTCTGAAGAGTGTGGGTTTTGCCGTATGTCTGAATGAAAAGGACAAGAGGATCTTCTGAATTCCTTCCAGCGTCAATGCAGGAGGGGGACGCTTTTGAGTACGTGGCCCTGAAAATGGCTGTGGTGTGGACGGGAGCCTCTGTATCAGCGGGTCCCCCCACGCCAGGGCAGCTGAAGATGTTCTGCAAAACGCGGATAGCACGAGGAGCTTGAACCGCTGCGCAGTCCCTGTGGTTGCAAGGTAAAGGCTCATGAAAGGCGTCAGCCGCCTTCTGCCCCAGGTGCTGAAGAAGGAAGAACCTTTTTAACATGTCAGTCGGTTCTTCTTAAACAAAGAGAAGTGCTCATCTTGCCTGTACTGGTTTTAATTTTACACCTCGTGTGATGCTTTTTATTCTGCTTTTTCCTGAAGAAGCGACAGTTCTTTGATGTATTCTTACGCCGTATCAAAGCAACTTTAATAAAAAAGTTAAATGAGATGTCTTGATTCGTAATACAACGTTGTCTCCCATATACATATCCTTTCCCAGTCAACAGCTTACTCCTGGACTCTGAAGGGGCGAGATCCACCTGTGATCTCATTGCTTTGACCAACTGGGAGGGCTATTTTCTGACCTTCCCTTTGTCTGTCTATAATCTTCAGAAAAACTCTATACTCCCAGTTGCGTTGAGGTCTCTCTCCATCGTTTCCTGTAGATGCATGCAATAAATATTTATTAAAGAGGGACATTCATTCTCTCATATGCAATATAACCTATCCATTAACAATTCCAAAGTGCTCTCGGCTCCTGTTCTACGACAGCCAAGGAGTAAGTAAAACTTCTCCACCCTGTTGTTACCACGTCCAACGTAAGACTTAATAAAGCAGAGGGTGCTGAGGATATGCAGTGTATCCTCCAAATGGTGGAAGGAATCGTGACACCCCTAAAGCCTGTAAGCGCCAGAAACATCAGTAGTAACTTGATCAAGGTAACACTCCAGACCAGTCTGTAACTCTGCCCCTGGGAGAAGGATCCTTCCAGCCAGAAAGCTGCAGTATTTGGGATTTAGGCAGCATGAACTCTTTTTTTTTTTTTTTTTTTTTTTTTTTTTTATATCCTTTCAACAAAACACCACTAGCTCATCGCTGGGAAAGGGTTTTTTTTTTTGGAAAAAAAAAGTCTTGTATTGTCCATCATTTCAGTCACTCCCTGCTTACTCGGTACTGCTGAACTCAGAGTGCTGGTCTGTCAGCGTTGTGCAACTCGATTCAAAACCAGCTGCGACCTAGGCAATAACACTTGACTGCGGTAGAGCTTGGTGAGCTTCGAGATAATAATGGCGAGGTACTTCTTACTAAAGGAAAGCAGCCCAGTGAAATAACAGCATTTAAATTCTGGGGTGAAATCTGCATGGGTTTTTAGGAGGAGGAAAAAAAAGCCTTTGCCACTCCGAGATTCTGCTGCTAATCTAATTTCTACGCGATTGCCTCCCATTGCATCAGTCAGTGCTATTTGGTGCAGTGCTGCTTATGGGTTTTGAAAGTGCTGTAGATAAATGCAGCGTGGGAATAATCACTCAACTTCATATTCCTGCTCTTTCTCTGTTAACACATATCACTGGTATTGACAGCTCTGCAGAATGGTAGAATCAAGTCCTTATGTCTCCACAACACCCCATGCATGTGCATCATCCTGACAGGATAACGAGGCTCCGCCTGTGATGCTCCGCAGCGCGCACGTCCTCTGCCTTGCCAGTAGGCAGATATGAAATGTTACTGGCAAATGTGAGTGCAAGTCGGAGGAGAAGTCCTGGAAGAGTTTTAATGTGGTTGCCCGGCCCTGAGTTCCCGTACGGTTCAGCTGGCATGCCACGGTGCAGTGTGGGAAGAGTCTCAAAGCACAGCGTTCAGCAGCTGATATTTTCTTAGACTACCGAGCAATTAATTTGGGCAAGCACGGAGTTGTAAGCATACAGTAATTAAAAAGGAAAGCACCTTAGGCCAGCATAACAAGGTGGTGTGGGTGTCCTTCATTTTGAGATTGTTCCTTGTAATTGCAGCAATTTGACTGACTTGATCAATGTAACATCCCTGTATAGTCATGTAAGCATGCTATTAGGCAGGTATTCTTAAAAATAGGTTAAATGCAATGGGCTGTGCCCAAAAAAGTACCTGCCCTAGGGCACCTTATTTCAATAAGAATGTGAAGTCCTGTGTAAACTGTCAGCCATAATCCTTTTTACAGGCCTGACTAAATGCTGAAGCTCTGACATGTAGACCGTTCTCTTCCTTATATAGGGCTGGATAAGTGCTGGGCAGTAATGAGATTGGAATAAAAGGCTTTGGTAGCAAAGATGAACTGGCAGTGCCGACTGAATCTTAAACTTATCCCTGCGTATACATGGACTTTAAACAATACGGGCGTGAGCCCTGCTTGCTGAAGTTGGACTTGATGCCTCTGTTTTGGAGCTTCTGCTTGCGAATAGCATTTAGTCGCTCGGGCTGCAGATTCACCCAGATGGAAACCCCTGTACTCTTTAGGTTTGCCTTTATTGCGGTTTAACTGTGTCTGGGGAAAAAAAAAAGTCTAGCAGTTACGCATATCAAAACATTTTTAGTGTAATTCATCGCAATGGTTCTTATTCCAGAATGGCTGGGTTTGTTTTTATTTCGTTGGAAGAAGTTTAAGCTGCATTAATAGAAGCCGTTCTGTTCTGGAAGAAGAGAATCTGTGTGGGATACTGAATTAATATAACTTTATCTGGTTTAATTCACAATGTATCTTATACTTTCCTTGTGCAGACCGGATTATTAGCGTTCTGCCTAAAAATATCTGTGGAAGTACTGTTTCATGTGGTCAGATATGGTCAAGAAAAAACGTCATCTCTGCCACCTTGTCTGTCCTTGATGAATTTATACATCGACAGCTTCAGTGCTAGAAAACCATGCTGGAAGTGCATGAATCAACTGACAGATACTGGTCCTAGAAAGTCTCAGCATAAATGACTGATATAGGTAAGACGTGGCAGGAATCGAGAGAAAAGCGAAGGCAGCATTTGAAATCGTTTTACTTACTTTCTTGTTTACTCTCTCAGAAAAGACAGGGATGAAATTTGGAAAAGAAAGGAGATTTGAAAGAGAGGAGGCTGGGGGTTGATTGAGAGGGCTGCTTACAAAGAGGCAGTAGAAACGTGAACTGAAGGAAAATCGAGTTGTTCTGCACTGTGGCATCTTCAGGTGACTTAAGCAGTTACTGGATCTGCTCTGTTTTCTTAAAGATACCGCGGTTGGAGGTGGGTGCACGTAAGGGAAGGGGGAGGTGAGTGGGTGGTTTGATTTTTACCTGGGTGCACCTGAGCTGTTTCTCATAAAGCAGTACAAGTCAGAGTGGGTGAACATGGAGCAACTTAGAAAAATTTTTTTGGATAGTGACTCATTGCAACTTACCCAAAGTGACCTGATTTAGTTAAATGAGGCTAAATATAACCCATGTGAAAAGTACTGACATGTGGGAGGAGACGACAGCAGTTGGCTCTCAGCCTCTCTGTTCTGCAGGGAACATCTTTCACGACTGGTGACTAATAATTTTTACTCTTGCTGGCTTTGGAAATAACATCTCTGCTCCATTACCCCCTTCTAGGGAGACAAAGAAAATGCACTGTTCCTAATCTGTTGCCTCTTTATCTGCCTTTCTGAATTGCAGCTTACTGCTATGGACAGTGCTATCACCCTGTGGCAGTTCCTCCTCCAACTCCTCCAAGAGCCTCAGAACAAGAATATCATCTGTTGGACCTCCAACGACGGGGAGTTCAAACTGCTGCAGGCAGAGGAGGTGGCCAGACTCTGGGGAATCCGCAAGAACAAGCCCAGTATGAACTATGATAAACTCAGCCGTGCTCTCAGATACTATTATGTGAAGGTAACAAAGTCCGTAAATCCACCTCAAATCCTTATCCACCTTACCAGCTTCTGCCTAATGAGCTTTGTTTCCTTTTTCATTCTCTTCAAGGGGATAGGTGTCACTTCTGTCTCCCAGACTTAAGTAAGGTGGACTAGTTTATGTTTAGAGGGGTTTTTTTTCTTTCATTTGTCATTGTGCTGCATTTCCTCCCCAGTGGTTATTTTATAAGGTTCTAGATAGCTTTGTGCAAAATGTTACCTTCTTTGATTTATGTCTTTGCTAATACGAATTCGTCTTTGAATACTAATGCCCTTTCCAAAAATATGTGCCCTTGCAAGGGTTAAAATCCTCAGCACTCCAGTTTAAGCAGTGGAATGGTGATGTGATGATGACTGAGATGGTGAATATTGCACCACCTTGAGATCTTTTCTGTAACTGTCTCTAGGAAGGGGCTATCAAAATAAGGATTTTCAGTGAAGCAGCCCAAAGTATTTTTCTTTTTCTCCATGTATTCAGAATCACACCTCTAATGTGGTCAGCGAGTTTAGTCCAGCAGAGTAAGATGCTTCTCTTGTTTTGCTGATGTCTTCTAATAACTTGCGAGAGCCTTTCATTGGCGCGCAGGTAGTGCCAAAAAGCTGAGCTAGAACCACAGCGTGGGAGTCTTACCTTCGTTTCAATAAGCCATTTACCCCACAACTCTTATCGTGTGGGTGTACGAGGTAAAAAATAAAACACAGTTTCTGAGGAACCTGTCAGTTTGTAGCAGGTGGTATGTTGCTTGGAGTTTATTATTGGGTAGCACAAATCTGACTTTGTACCGAGCGTTCTCGGTAATAATAATTGTACGATAAATAAGAATCTTCTTAGGTCCAAATTGTGTGTGGCATTTCACTTAGGAGCAAAACAAGTTTGACATATGCTATTTTGTGGTATTGAAATAGCTGATTAGCCTACGTTCTGCTGACTAGTTCAGCTACTTATTTTCTTTTATGATCATCTTATTAAGCATAAAGGTGGTTTGATTTGAAGTATTAGCTCTCAATTCTGAAAACCTGTAAGCTTTAATTCTGCAGGTTCTCCTGTTATATTACACTTACTGCACCCAGGTCAGTGATCTTTGATGGGGGTAATGGGTATTTTTTTGTTTCTTAGCTGATCTTTTAAAATATGTTAAACAGAATTGCTTGGCAGTTTTAAGGCTGCTGTTAGATATTTAATGTCAGGTTAAGCACACCTGTTTTAGTGTTTTGTCTGCGAGCTCTGGAAATGATACTTTGGGAGCATAACTGAATTGCAAGAATGCAGGGTGTTTTTAAAAAAGAAAAAAGGAACAATTTTTGATGAAAGATTACAGACTGTCTAATTCCTCAGTCTATTTTAGGCAGTGTTTGTAGGAAGAAAATTAATCTGAAGAAGGTCTAAATATATATGTCTTCTTACCCACAGAATATCATTAAAAAAGTGAATGGTAAGAAGTTTGTGTACAAGTTTGTTTCTTATCCGGAGATTTTAAATATGGATCCACTTGTCGTGGGCCGTATAGAAGGAGACCCTGAAATGACTGGTTTTGCGGAAGTTAGCAGTGCTCCAAAGGATGTGGAAAACTGTGGGAAGGAGAAGTCTCAGTCATGTGCTAAATCCTCCAGCCGCAATGACTATATCCACTCAGGCTTGTACTCCTCTTTTACTCTGAACTCCCTGAACTCTTCCAGCGTAAAACTCTTCAGGTCCATCAAGATTGAGAATCCAGCTGAGAAACTGATGGAGAAGAAACCTGCTCAGGATCCAACACCCTCCGTCATCAAGTTTGTAACCATGCCCTCCAAAAAGCCTTCATCTGTCCCCCTGGTCTCTACCACTTCAGCGGTCTCTGCCACTTCCACTGCTTCTGCCTCTTCAACCGCATCCTCTCTTCCCATGGGATCGGAAAAAATGGAGACTCTTGTTCTACCCAAGTTAACTGTCCCTGAAGCTCCAGCACCTTTGCCAAACTTAACCACCAGCTTCACCCCGACTCCACCCATATCCTCAGTTTCTCCCACTCTGCAAGTTCCCTCCACACCCCCGTCGCCGCCCCTGAGCTCTAATCCTGACCTGGACATTGACACGGACATAGAGTCTGTGGCTTCTCAGCAGCTGGAGCAGGCTCAGAGCCTTCAGCATCAATCCCCAGAGCCCAAAGAGCAGGATTCATCTGTGCTGGAGAAGGAGTTTGCCAATCACCTCTCCAGATCTAAAAAACCCAAAGGGCTGGAGTTGGCTCCTACTCTCGTCATTACAGGCAGTGATCCAAGTCCACTGGGGATTCTGAGTCCTTCTCTCCCAACTGCTTCTCTTACTCCAGCACTTTTCTCTCAGGTAACCTAATTCCCTTCCTGTTGGGTTTTTTTTAGTAACAATAGTGGTTATGTTATATTTTAAAACAATAAGGGAAGGCAAGTGGGAAATGAATAGTCGGTAGATTATATTTGGAGTTCTGTCACTCCCATTTTTCTTATAAAACAGAAACTTTATTCATAATCGGTATTAGCTTCCGCCCCAAAGTGTGCCCAAGTGGTATGTCAGCTGCACACGTCTGTACAGCGTTAGCATGTGGAGGCAAAACCCAAACCAGCACCAGCAGGATCCTTTGTAAATCTTGCCAGGGTGATACTGAATTATTTCAAAAACCCTAAACCCTGCCCTTATCCTTCAGGCTGATTCTGAAAATGCTTTAAAAATAGAGAACCACGGAGGTGTCTGTTTAGCCGCTTCCTTTTGCTTGATTTAGTAGCCATTTACTTAAGACCAGAGTATCGTGACCTAACAGCAATAAGAACGGCTGCTTGATTTGGTTGTTGTTTTTGTGTGGGAAAAGAAAGCTTTTATGCCTCATGGAAACTTTGGAAGAGAACTGAATCCAACTAGGCTGTTAAATTGTTCTGTATATATTTAATCTCTTTCCTGTAATAAATTGGAATTAGAGTGAAACTGTAATTGAAAACTGAAATGGCTGAAGACAGGAAAAAATCAAGTGTAGTTGCTCTTTTGGCACCCTTCGAGGCGTTTGGCCAGTGAACCTGGAACATCCAGAATATTCAGAAGCTGGATGTAAATGTCTTTTGTTGTGGCTTACATAGTCAGTGTCGCCCGGACCACGCGTGTGCCCCCTGTCTGCTCTTTTTAAATTCACGGACTGAGTTTTCCAAAGTCACTTGCAGGTGCTGTATAGTGAATTGCAGGAGGAGCCGATGTGCTGTAGGTTACAGCAGGATTTGGCAGCCGTTGGGAGAAGATTTGCTCAGCAAGGGGAGGGACAGCCGGATGACTGCTGCCGCTGTTGTGGGGTTTGAAGGGAGGAGGAGGAGGAGGCGGGAGGAGGGAATGGGAGTTCCGGAAATTTGGACCCAGCCCTCTGCAGCTGTAGGAGCTGAGATTATTGGGGCTGGATTCGCATGTGCTATGCTTACTCCCAGTGCAGGTTTCACGCAGCTGACTCTCTTGTGTTTTGCAGACTCCCATCTTGCTGACCCCCAGTCCCTTGCTCTCCAGTATTCACTTCTGGAGTACGCTAAGCCCAGTTGCTCCTCTCAGTCCTGCAAGGTGGCAAGGTGCTAATACACTCTTT